TTTTATTTTATTTTATTTTATTTTATTTTATTTTATTTTATTTTATTTCGTTTCATTTTATTTATTTATTAAATTTTTAATTCTTTTTTTGTTTTATGTTATTTTATTTTTTGTTCATATAACTTTCTTTATATTAATTTATTTTATTTCATTTTAATTAATTTTATTTTGTCTTATTTTATTTATCTCATTGCTTTTATTCTTATTTATTTTTATTTATTTATTTTATTTTATTTTATTTATGTTCTTCAAAACTGTTTTAATTTTAATTATTTTTTCTTATATTAGTTTATTTATAATTTTTTTTTTACTAAAAGAAAAATATTTAAAATATATTTAAATACTAAATTATATATTATATAAATAAGTTGGCCTGTTTCTTTATAGTAGTAGTTAGTACTTTCTTGGATTTTTCTTGCGTGAAATTTTTTTTAAATTGTTTTTATTGTCTATACTAAATTTCTCTTATTAAATATTTATTTGTTATTTTTAAAAATTTACTTAAAAATAATTTATTTATTATAATTTTCTTTATTTATTTGTTCTTCATCAGCTTCCGGTGACTCCGGTGATATTATATATAAATTATATAACAGAAAAAAAAAATCAAAAATTATTTGCTGCACGCGCAGTTTTAGGAGAATATTCTCAGCTCAGTGAAGGAGATATGACAGGAACTTATTTCGTATTCCAAAGCAAGTCATAAAAAGTGGTAAGAAGCATCTCTCCAGCACAAAATTATTATTGTTCTTTGCTATTCTTGAAACTCGCTTGTTCCTCCAAAGAGTCTGCTGTCCAATTATTTGGAGTTTTCTCTTTTTTATGGCTTAGAACTTGCTCCTCTGCGTTTGCAGCTTCTCGACAGCTTACTTCGAAATCGGCTTCACTTCCAACAGTTGTGGATAATTCTCTACGATGTTCAATAGTATCGTATCGATATAATGTTTAAGGCGGGTATTTTCATCTTCCTTTTCTTGGAACGCTTGTTGTAACTGTAAAGGTAGCAAAAATGAATTGAGCATTTAGTTTTCGCTTTTAAAAAGAATATATATTTTTTATTCAAAACTAATAATATTAGTAGTGGAAAGAAATCCTTCAGCCAACGTAACTTTAATTTTTTGATAAATTATTTTATACTCTAACTAAATTATTTAATGAATAAATTGTTATTTTTTTGTATAGTTTTCATTGCCAATACTACAAACACAATATCATAAGTGTTATCTACTTTGAACCTAACCGTCAAATCCTTGAAAACACAACACAACACAATAAGATGTGGAAAAATTGGAAACAGTTTTAAATATTAGGTGGCTATTATTCATCGTCGTCCATTTTCTTATAAATTCTTCATAGCAAATTATTTATAAATATTATGGAAACACTATGAGCCTGCTAAGAATATAAACCATTATCATTGAAATGGTTTTTAAGAGAGTGAAACAACCGCTGTCTGATGGAGTCAATTCAGGGTTATAGGGTAAAGTCCATTGAGTTTAGACGGGTTATCCAAGAGGTGCTGCACCTGTCTGTTTCACGCAATTGCAATTGGTAAGTTTGGGGCGTTTTCTTTTTTCTTAATTTCTTCGCTCTATAGAAATACTTGAGGGCAGTAGGCAGTCGAACAAGAGTTTAGTTTCTTGAGTTGTGTATTTTGCTTGATCCATGGGCATTTTTGAATCTACACTACAACAGCAGTTATGATAAAGAAGAGATGTTAATTAAACTGCATAGTTGTAGAACAAACTCAATGGCAGAACATCTTTCGAAGAGTTAAAATATACATTTAAGGTGCTTCACCTATACAACATCCAACATCAAAAGAAAATTAAATGATTTCTTTATTGCTATATTGACATATGGAATATCAATTAAATCAGTTGATATTACACTTATACATAGTTTCATTCAGTTTTGGTAGGGGAATTATTGAAATAAGTTCTCAAAAAGCAATTCTCAGTACAAGTAGATGTCCTTTCAAGCACTCCAATGTTCTTGTACCATTTTTTTTAAGACGTGCAGGAATTTGTGGGTGATGTAATGAAAATGTTGTATTAATGATGTGGCGATTGCGTATGTCAAATTTTATGTAATTACATATATGTATGTATATAAATAATTTGATTTAAAAAATATGTAATCACTAATACATATACTCTGCGAAATTAAAATTATTTTTGAAATGATATATTAAATTTAAAATTATCGTTTTTTATTCGAAAAATCATATTATCAATGCTAGCAATCGATCGATTGGGCTTGTCAAGCATTCAACTTATATTACAAGTTTTATAATATTCTATTTTTTCTATTGTTTTTGTTGTCGTATGTTTCTCACATCGTATATTATAGATTATGTAGTCCATAGAATTTCTTCTGAAAAAAAAATTATCCACAACACGTTGTTAGTGATTTTACTTAGGGCTTTAACCGATTTCATCTGATTAATTATATATTTTAAATTATACGAATTTAATATTACTATTGTACAATAAATAATTATTAGAAATCATGATTTTTATTTTATTAATTATTTTATTTTAATTTATTTTAAATTATTTTGTTTAAATTCAAATTATTTTTTTTTATCCAATTACTTAATTATTTTTCGTTTTTATAGATTTTATTTCTTTACAGTTTTATTTAATTTAGTTAAAATCATTTTTATTTATTTTATTCAGTTAATTATATTATATTCTACTTTGTTTTTATTTTTTATTTGTATTATATTACTTTATTTAAAATTATTTTTTATTTACGGTTTTAGTTTTTTTATTTTTTATGCCTCACTTATTTTCTTTTATTTATTTATTTTATTTAACTAAACTTAATTTAATTCAATTTACTTTATGCTATATTATCTTATTTTATTGTATTTTACTTATTTTTATTTTATTTTATTTTATTTTATTTTACTTTNTTTGTTTTATTTTATTTCTTTATTTTTTTTATAATATATTTTATTTTACTCAATGTTTTTATTTTATTTTTAATTGTTTTATTTAATTTAATTTTCATCTTCATTATTTCTTTCCCTTCATATTTGAGTTGTTATTATTAGAGTGAGAACCGGTTTTCTTGCTTTCTAACCAATCACCAAACCGAAACCAATATTAGATAATGAACAAGGTTAGATTCGGATATTCTTCTGTTAAGCGCTTTTGCCTTGTGTTGATTATTACCTGACTCAGAGATGCTAATGTGGCTGAATCCACAGAGTCCTGTAATAAGAAAAATAAATAAAAGAAAGGAGAATACAAAATAATAAATAACATATACGAATACAAAGATAATGTGGGCGATACTATAACGGGATGCATACGAATATATGTAGGTAGGAGGACACGAAAACAAAGAAAGGAGAAAAATAAGTCCTAGGCAAACAAAAATTTGAACTAAAAAAGAAAAGAAAAAATTATAAAATATAATCGCATAGCTTTTAAGCTCCAGTCGGAAGCTTTCAAGCTTAATATTGATGCCAGAACGGAAAAAAAAACATAAAATAATAAATTAAAATAAATAAACGAGTACTTGTAGATTAGTTTTCTTACTTAATTCTGCAAATAAGCGCAAACTTTATAAAACTAATGCAAAAGCTTTGCTGCCGTGTGTATGTGTGCAAGTGTTTGTGTGTTGTAAGCTTTCAGACTATACCAAAGAATGATAAATGCACGCGTGTATGTGTTTATTTTCTTTACTCAGATTTGTGTGTGCAAAAAAAGCAAGAGCGTTTGGGTTAGAGCGGCAAGGAAAAGCTTTCTAGAACATAAAAGCTCAGAGCACGCACGATTGCAGTGCATAACTAGTGACTCTCTTTCAAAGCTAAAAAAGAAAACTGCGAATTGACACTCACCTGTGCTTGTGACATTTCCTCCAGTTCCTGCGCTAAACTATTCAGTGTGCCGTTTAGCAAATTGCGTCCTTCTTCCACTCCACGTGTAAGCACTTGCGCTTGCAGCTCCTCGTTTTGCTCTTCCAAAGCTGGAATTCGAATAAATGTTGGTTAAGAACATGAAATCACAGCAATTTAAGCGCCACTCACCTTTATTCTTCTGCCGCATCTCCTCCAACTCTTGATGCAGTTCTTCCAGTCTTATTGTCTCCGGTGAGGTGGTTGGCAACGCTGGTCCCGTCTCCGCACGCAACCGTTCCAATTCTTTGCTCAACTCCAGCATTAGATCTTCAGCCGCCTTCTTATCATCTTCATATTTTCGCTCACGTTGCGTCGCCTCGTCAAGATCCTGTTGCAGTGATGTGATTTGATCGCGCGCAAGCTCATATTTTTCTTCCGTACGATGTAAATCGTTGGCTTGTTTGTCACACTGGACACGCAGACGTTGCGCCTCTTCACGTAATGTATTCGCTTCGAGTTCTATAGTTTTGATTTTTATTTGGCAATTTTCATTTTGGAGCGCAGCTTCACGTTCGACGCGTGCCAATAGTTCGCGATAGCGTTTCTGTTCCTCAGCGAGGCGTTCTTCGGCGCGGAGTTCGGACTGGATTTCGAAATAGAGAGAAGAAGAAAGAGGTAAAGATAGTTATAAGTCTTTTTAAAACTAATTGTAGGATTCACAACCAATATTTCTAGGTTAATACTCTTTGCCCAAACTACGTCCAGCTAATTTTATAAAGCTTGGAAAAGGATAGAGTGTAAATGGCATGATACGATCTTTACCTAAAATAGTTCGATAGGTCTTTTTAAAATAACTCTTTCTCCTACCGGATGACCTGCAGATAACTTGTAATTTCTTAGACTTCTCATTAAGAACAAAACTTTCCCATGTGTAGTTCTATTATTTCGAGATGCATTAACTCTCCCTGTAAACTCAGTGCTGATTAAGTGTCTAAACAGAACCGAAAATTATTAAATCCTTTTCTTACCGATGCTGACCTTGTAAAGTTCAACTCCGTTTCGAATAATGTAGAGCGCTACTTAGGTACAGGGTACAGCTTCTGACCCATAGCTTCCCTAGACTCTGCATTACATCAGAGTTACAAATTTCAGGATCTCCAATTGCTTCGGGTTACTTCGTGAAAACACACGTTGTATATCCAAGTGTCATCATCAGTTGTGGATACCTTCATAATATGTTGGTTCTCCTCCCACCAAAGCATGGAATGTTCGCCTCGTTGACATGAGAAGATGTTGTTATTAGTTTAACCTCACTCCACATGTCCGCGGACTATGTTATCGAAAGCTACGCTTCAGTGCTTACTCTGATTGGTCGAATTTTGTCTGAATTTACCTACACTTTATTTTTTATATAATAATTCGTTCTCTGGGCATCAGCAAGCGAGATCCACAGCTGGCTTTTTATTGCACTCCTCGTTACTGAGTGAAATTCTAGCACCAGATGGAGGTTCATTTTAATTCGCGGTAAGTAGCCGTTGCGTAGAACATCGACGCTTTTTAAGAATTTATTGAGACTTGGTATTCAATTTTCAATCTCTGCACTGCCGAAGAGAAACAGAGAAGGTTTTCAGCGTCCCACTCATGCCTACATCTCCATTTATGACTGTGACTAATGCTCATATCGGTTGTGTGCGATGCCAATAGGTAGTGGCCTGTCATCACAACCGTTCTGACGTTCTTTCAGAATCACTTCTGTTTTTCTCCACTGTTATTTCATATGATCTTAGTAGCTTGACAGATCTTTAAGTCCTTCCATCTTAACCTCATCCTTCTTCCAGCTCTGTTTAGAGAATTCATTCGGAAATTTCATCAACTATTTCGTTGCTCATAATGCCTTTGTATGAGCAATAGCTTTCCTTAACTTAATAATTGCATCTCAGTTCCAAGAACACTTTCCGTCTAAGTATGATATAATGAGACATTACAATCACCGCCTGGCTGTTAACGTCTATGTTGATTCTTTACATGTAGTTTCCTGTGGTGCTAGCTCCACTGGGTTAGCTTATTCGAGATCTCTCCGCCAAGAAAGAGAAGCAATATTCTGAAAATTAACATGACAGAGATTCAGCTCAAAACAATAGATTCCAGCATCCTTTGTTGGTCTGTACGAAGGAATGTTGTAAATTTGCCTTGACTTGAAACCTTTATACGATTTTCTAACTTATAGAACTATGACTGAAGGTTCTAGAACTCCCTACAACTGCAGCCGCTGAAGCAGTTCTAAGCGTTCTTATTATTTATGAGATTTTCGTGGCCAGCACACCAAAGCCCCACAGAGGAAGAATGGCTGTAATATTAGCTCAATCATCTTTTTGTTCTTAAAATTTTTACAAGTTCCTAGAGAGCTCTTTCTATCTCTCCTACAACTCTGTTCTAAATGAAATAGCGCGATAGAAATCTTCTCCCTGAAGGAGAGCACTGTTGCAGCACATTTAGCGTTAGATTGCACAGAGTTTACTTGACCTCAACAGAAACTTATGGTACTATGGTGGGAGTCAGCCACTAAAAGAATGAATCTTTTCACAAAAATTTGCTCTATAATTTCTCTAATCTATCGAATACTATTTTTTATACTCTCAATATTTTTAGCTCCCCACTCACCTCCCTGTACTGCTCTTCAAGCATATGATAACGTGTCTGTAGTACAGCATATTCGGTCTTTGTGCGCGTCGTACGATCCTCAGCGATATTCTGTGTGTCAGCCAAATCGGTCACTTGACGTTGCAGCAATTCCAACTGTAATCAAAGAGAGAGAGAGAGAGAGAGAAAGATAGCAGTTAGTACTCACATTAACAAAAGCAAACAAATAAATTTTGATAAAGAAAGTAATAGGGAAATGAGCTTAAACAGCCGGCTGATAAGAAATCAATGTAAATATTATAGAAAAAATTAATTTTTATTAAAAATATATAAATATTACATACATATATATATTTCGTAAAGTATATGTATATCTATTTATAAATGTATTTATAAGAAAAAAATTGTATACATCACGTTATGGCGGTATGACGATCATTTTACTTAACTCGTCTGACGCTCAGCGCGAGACTCTTACAGGGCAAATGTCAAATGCATAAATTCTTAATTAATTTTGTTGTTAATATTTTTTTTTATTTTTATATTTCTCCTTAAAAAATTAGTAGCGGCATAATAATGAATATTTACTAACACAATTGCTCTTTAATATACGTATATCACCGAGTAGATCATCAATAAGCAACACATCGGCCATTGGTGTTTTAAAATGCATTTGTTAAATGAAAACTTCTGTGCTCTCAATGCAAAACAGATTTAATAAATGATATATATTTTTTTATTTTATATTTTTACTTTTCTCTTCATTTAGATATTGAAGTATTTTCATTTTTTTTATATATATTTATTTTTTAATGTTAACACTTCGTTTTGTTAAAAAAAAAAATATCTTAGAAAATTCACTGTAAAACTCATTATTCACTGCAGGAGTGTAAAAAAATTATATGCTTCGGTCAGTCTGACCTCTGTAGATATTTTTAAATTATTTTCTTATTTTTTTTTTTATATTGTTTATTTCATAAAATTTTAATTAATATTTTACATTTATTTACACACGTCTTATGCGCCATCACACTCAGCTATAACTGAAATTCTCTTTAAAGACTTCGCAACAAATTTGTTTCTCTTTTATAGACACAAGCAGTGAGCGGAAGAGGGTATCAGAAGGCGGCAGCGCTGCGGTTTATGACGATATTTCACACCCGCATTAGGTAGTGCTAATAGCCGATGCGTTTAACGTGCAGCGTTGGTGGTGTCCCCACCTCACATTTGTTCCCTATAAACAGTTAACGACTAATACTTTCCTACGCTTAAAAAATACCAGTTGATATATGTGTGTAAAAATTTATGCAAAATTCTTGAATTATTTGCTCATAAACGCGGCTTGGTAAATGATTTTATATACATATTTTTTAATTTTTCAATGTTTTTATTTAATTTTATTTTTTTTTTTATTATTTGTTTTTCAATTTCTTTTAGTTTATTTTATTGCAATTTTTTATTGAAATATTTCGCTGCTGTCAAGCTTAACCCCTTCCATGTACGGACGCTACCCATTCATTATCGTCTGTTTACTTGGCAGTAAAGTACATTTTATATATCTACATATGTAAGCTTTTTTTGCAGAAAAAAACCTATAACTCACACTTGCTTCTCTAGTTGGCAGCGAAGCAGGCGTGAGATATTTGTACTCCCGCCTCTTGTTTACACTCGCTTTGCCGGCTAGACGCGCGCAACAAGCTGACAAGCAACATGTCTTATCTAATTTGTTGTTTGTGCTTACAAAACTTCATAAAAAATAACTGTTAAGACTGAATACCGGGTATCGGGTTGGCAGTGTATTAATGATGAGCTTGAACAGGGTGTATGAAAAGCAAAGGCATTTGAGTACTAGAACCTGAAGCAAAAAAAAAATAAGTTGGCCGTCTTGCGGCGTTTCTTGCTTCGTTTCGAGAACTTTTTTACCGCTCAGTCTACGTGTGGTATTGAAAGATTAGAACTTTCTAGTGAGAGGAACTATATTTGGGCTTATTTTTCTTTTTACTCTATTTTTTTTATATTTTATTTTGTTTTATTTATTTTATATTATTTTAATTTATATGAATTTATTTAATTTTTTTCATTTTGAATTTTATTTTTATTCCAATTTATATTTTTTATTTTATTTTATTGTATTTTAGTTAATTCAATTTTAATTTATTTTATTTTATTTTTTTAATTTTATTTTATTTTATTTTATGTTATGTTATTTTATTTTAACTAATTTCATTTAAATTTATTTTATTTTATTTTATTTTATTT